CTATTATCAATAATGGTAGTAGTCCTGTTCAAAATTCTAACTAGGAGATTATTAGGGAGTTTTCAGTAGTAGCTCCGTTAATTGTTAGCAATTTAACTGATTGCTCTCTCATTCGCATCACATAGATGTTTCAACATTTTGTTGAAGATGCTTGCTAGGAGATTTTTACGGACTTTTTCTGTTTCTGTTATCAATAATAGTAGTAGCCCTGTTCAAAATTCTAACTAGGAAATTATTACGGAGTTTTTAGTAGTAGCTCCGTTAATTGTTAGCAACGTTAATTGTTTGAACATTTTGGTCAAGATTCCAACTAGGAGTTTATTACGGACTTTTTCCTTTTCTGTTATCAATAACAGTAGTAACACTGTTAATTTGTAGCAATTTGATTGATTGCTCTGCCTTTCTCATCGATTGTGCGGGCAAAGATTCTTTTAGTAGTTCACAAAGCAGAAAAAAGTAGTTCATTAAGACGCAATATTTAAGACCTATCTTCAGTTTTGCGATTGCGGAGGTTCCATAAAAATTGAATTGACGAACTTATGTAGAAATAGATACATACAAAACATGGACACGCGTAATATTAACCAATACATTTATTGAATGAAAAAAAATTAAGAAAGAGTTTTTTTAAAAAAAATTTTTTTTAGCTTTTTTTTTGGTATGGATGGTATGATGTAAAGAAACTATAACAAATGTTGTCTTTAGAAAAATTTATAAAGAAGAAGAATTAAAAACTATGCATTAGCAAAGCGAGCAAAACTTGCTGTTTTTTTTTAATTGATTTTTTTCTTAACCTATCATTGTTTTAGTAAGGAGCCGCAGCAGGAGAATACTCCCTTCTTCTTAATTAGCCGTGTTATTGGAATCTTCCGCAGTGGATTCCCTGTCTACTTTAGCAATCTTAAAGGCTATACACAAATATCCAATTTTATTCCTTTAGGGATAATTTTCCCCTTAAAGCCGTTTTTGATACTGTTCGTATGAATATTATGTTATTCTCGGAGGCATCGCGACGATACAACCTGGTAACTGAATTAATTTGGATTTCACACTCAGCGTTTTCCTTAAAATGGTTTGCTTTAATAAACGTGGGGATTACTACGCACAATTCCGAATTTCTCAGTGAAAATTCGAGAAATAAATGCCTTTAAGCGTTCGAACCAGAAATCGCTACTTTTTAAACAATAATTTAGTCCTGCCATTGCTTATGCCCACAAAGTTTGAAATGCTTAATATATTCAAAGAAAAATAGATCTGAATTTAGACGGGCCCCGATTATAGTTAGCATTTTCATACGTTTCGATAATTAGTTGACAAATACCTGTTTTGCATTGTTTGGCGATTTGAAGTGTTTTCGTTTTATTCCACCATAAGTTTTTGGAAATCTATCAAAATTAACTCCCTTTAGGACCATTTCTAGATCCTCCTTACGGGATGGGCTACTTTTAAACTTTCTGTTAGCTTCAATACTAATCACAATCAACTGACTTACCAAGAATTAGTAGGAAAGATGATGTCATAATTTGATTACTTGAAGCAGATAACACTAAGAATGAACAGAAGCACTTATTACCTGTCGCTTGAAGTCCGAACTCTCAAATTAGTTCAAAAATGAGACTAACATTGGCAATAGCGGTTAATACTGCGCACCGTTTAGAAGAGGAGCATTCTTCTTGTTTTTTAAAGCGTACGATTTTTCACAAAGAGAAAAAAAAAAAGTTTCTTTTTGTTTATTTTAATAAAAAAAAATATTAAACAAAATAGAGCAAATACGTTACGCGCATGGGTTAAAAGTACTCAGATCAAAATACAATATACATCGCTGTAATTAATTAATAAGTCCACAAAATTGAAAAATTGAGAAATATTGCACTATACAAAGATAAAGCAAACTCAAATATTTATTACGAAGTCGACTTGAAAAGAAGTGCAAATTTAGATTGGATGGAAGAATCAATTGATCAAACCATCCTCGGGCACTCCATACAAATATTTTATATATTATGATTATAGATATTAGATATGTAAACAATGTGTGCATCGCCCTATCTGCCCATCTCTTTTTTTATTTGCAATTTTTGTTTTCTTACAAAATCTCTGTTTTTTAATTTAAATTTAATTAAATTAAAATATAAATACTTGTTTTATTTATTTAGTCTAGTTTATCTATTTGATATTAAAAGAGAAAATAATTAAAAAGTTGAATGGAAAAATTAAGAAAATATGCCATGCATCTAATCAAGCTGATAATTGTAATTATAAGTTTTAAATTATAAGACGATGCAGTTTAATTTCAATTAAATTATAATTTGTAATTGAAAATACATTTTCAATAATTTCATTTGTGATATATTAAATAAAAGAGCTTGTTAAACACACATTTATAAGCTTGTGATGAATTTATATCAGAACCGCATCCTTGAATTTTTTAACTTTCTGAAGATGTCATGATTTACTTTTCTCACACAACAATACTTTCGGTGTTGACAGGGATGTATTAAGTTTGTGCGAATATATGCGAGATCCAGACACCTTTTAGATAAATCAAGCTTTTCTATATCGTGCTTAGCGTGTCCGTCTTTCGGTCTTGTTTTCAATCTGGACGGCGCAGTTCCTGAGATATTTTGATAAAATTTGATACACCGACACGATTGGGCCAAGCACGAACGTTATTTAAAAATTATATTTGTTTATTGCGCGGTTATTTATAGGCGCATTCCACTTACCTTGGCAAAGAATCGTAGTAAGTAAGTTTATCCAAGTTTTAGATTTAAATCCGCTCAAGATTGTATGTTGCAATTTTTTTCCTATTACGGACGGAGTAAGTCAATTTTCATGTATGAACTCTCTCCATCGTTTTCAACTTCAATTTTTAGGAATTCACCATTTTAATCTCAGATGGCAAACAAACGAAAAACGCCAGATCGATTCGGGAAGGTTTTCCGCTAATCCAGAGTCTACTTACTTCCTGGAAATCTCTCAGATCTCTGCAAATTTCTGGGTATTACATGGGAAAGTATAAAGGAGAGTAACATTAGTGTTAACTAAAAGTGTAATCTGCTGTTTTTTTGGGCAATCTGTCTGACATGCTACAGGTAACCAAAGACAATTAATTGTCTTCGAAGCATTGATCGTATAATTTAGTTTTGTTGTAAGCAGAATTAATCGAGCAATTGTGAATGTATATACTGCAACCGGCATATGTTGAGTATAATGATCGCACTTTCGAAATTCGCCCAAGTTTTGCTTCGAATTCACGAATGATCTCAACATGATATAATTAAAGCATTCAAATAGTAAACGATTAGAAAGTCATACAAATTAAGTGCGCGCGGGTTCCTTACAACAAGATTTTACTAAATTTGTTGAAATTTTTCCTAGTCTTTATTGAAACCGTCCTTATTTGAAACGAATCATTGGTTTTATTAACACGATGTATTATTATTTCGCTAAGTGAAAAACTATTAACATTTGTATACAATAAGTGTACATAAAAATCAAAATTAATTTATCCACGACGTAATAGCATTGCAAGAGTTATCAGCAAATCAAGTAGACACAATTCTACCATACTGAGATTGTGATGAGCAGTTGCTGAACTTCTTAAAGAACTAGAGCCTTCGCCGGTATAAAATTTATGAGAAGAGATAACGGGGCGAGACTTTTTAAAGCTTTCGTAATACCAATCCATGCCATCTTTACGATCGTTGTTATTATTTTCTATAGGATGGTTTCGTTTCTGAGCATTTGCTGTGAATTGAGGATGATTTGTAGATCGATTAAGAATATTGCCACGATCGGCTGTCGGTGAAGTATGCTCATATCCTTCAGCAGGGGATAAGAACTTATTTACAGTTTGTGGCGTATAGACTTTAGTTATGGTTGAACGAGCTGCTCCCCCTGGACGAGGCGCATTTACCGACGAAAATTTGTTTGCAGCTGTGCGGGCAATGCTGTCATCAGTTGAAGAATAAATATCAAATAACGATGCCGGAGTTGTAATGACAGTTGAAGTAGTTATAGATTGATTTGTTTCGACGCTATCAATTGTTTGTGTTGTAAACAACCATGTTTGTCTTTTAAGATGTTCAACCAGTTCTTCCGATGGCGGTATTAGTAAAATAGTCTCCGCAGTCGTAGTTTCTACTAGAGATGGCGGTTTTAAAAAACCTACCGATTGCGCTTCTAAATCATCATATGTATCCGCTTCGTCGGATTCTGTTGTATTAGAATCTCTCGTGGTTGAATTTAGTAGAGTTAATGGAGTAGCATTTACTAGTGAAGTGGTTGCATTTACGTATTCGGGGGTGGTTGCAATATTTTCATTGCTTGCTGCCTCAGTTATATAATAAATACTTGTTTCGTTTTCGACGCTGTAAGCGCCATTGTCCAATGGTGGTTTGTGTATAACACTACCAGGCGTATTTTCCGTCACAATTGCAACATGATGACGTTTGTTTTCTTTAATGATTGTGTTGACTATTTCAATGGTGCCCTTACGTTTGCTTGGGTCAGGTATGGGCTTAAAGCCACCTACACTAAGATGAGGTATCATTGGTGTGAAACCTCCACTCTCAACTTGTTTCGGAGTGTGAAAACCCGTTTTAAACACGCTTGTAGGGATTTCACTACTTTTCTCACTTCCTTCTGTAAAAGAAATCTCATCCGACGAAAATTGTTGATGATGTCTGTGTCCGTTAAAGTTTCCGTTTTGATGCTTTTGTTTTTGATAACGAATTTCAGAAAGTTTATCTTTTTTTTTCAAGTACTTTTCAAATTCAGCACTGTTTGGTTGATACATGCGCACTTTACCGTGGCCATTGCCACTAATACTGACTCCAATTCGATGTGTAGCAGGCAATTCGACATTTAACGAGGTGGGGGTTGACATTGCGGTGCTCTCACCGCGATCTTTGCGGCGCCCTTGTTGAGCCCCAAAGAATCGGCTCAAGCTAAGTGAGGGTAAGGGATAACCGAAAAACGTAAACGCCGACGATGGCGGGTGATTTGTTGGTACAGTTGGTTTTCTTTTAAAAAAATTCGTATTCAAAATAGTGTTGTTTAAATCTATATGCGAATCGATTGCGGTCGATGCAGAAGGAGAAATTTTTTTATGTGAACTTAAGGCAGTATTAGTACTTTCAACCTGGGATCCTACAGCTGGAGTATCGCTGACCACATTACTGTTTGTGGGGTTCACTGGTTGATAATCAATATATTGATCATAGAAATACTCACTTTCACCAGCCAAGGGCCTATCGATCGGCGATATATCGCGACTTTCACATTCGTCCGTGTATTTCTCATTCAAATCACGTTGGAAAACGTCTCCGTGATCGTTAAGCAAGGGCAGGTTGTTTAGATTGTCCGCTTCAGCGCCGAACAATAAATTAGATTTTTGTGAATGATCTCCTCCATAATTGCTGCATAGTTTTTTATCCACGTTTGATGAACGCAATAGACGACCATCTTGACATTTGGGACCTGGATAGGGAAAATTAGTCTCTTGCAGCCAAACAGAAAGCCACTGTATATCGCATGAACAGTCAATAGGGTTTCCTGGAATAAAAAAGTTTGTTTAATGGATATATATATATATATATATATATATATTTAAATTAACGTTATTTTATTCAACCGTTACCATCAATGTCAATAATAGCTATGTTGCCTCTTAAATTGCGAAAGGTCCTTTCCTTAAGTACTTTCAAACGATTGTTGCGCATCGATAATACCCTTAAACGCGGCATTGCCTCAAATGGTGAACCCTACGAAAAAAAAAAACAAATTATTCTCGAGAATAATCGCGACCTCAATTTGTTTTTGTATTCCGCTATACACATACCTGTACTTTGCATATTTCATTGTTATCCATTTTTAATTCAACCAGCCAACTTAATGATCTTAAAGGCATAGTGGAAATTACTCTTATGGCGTTATGAGATATGTCCAGAACTTCTAAGTTTCGCATATTGCTTAAACCAATACTTTCTATATTATGGAAATGATTATTGGATAGATTCAAAAATACTATGAAAGGAGAATTAAAAAAACTATCCGCCGACATATCACGAAGATTATTATATTGAAAATGTACGGCCAGAAGATTTGGCAAATCTTCAAAGGCATGATCTTTTAACTCTACCAACTTATTATCAGCCAACACGTACTCCTGAAGTTCAGGTAAATTTTTCAAAGCCCCCGGCTCCACCAAATTTATCTCATTACTGGATAAATCTAGGTATTGTAATTTAGGCAAATTACGAAAGGTATTTTGTTTCAAGCCGCTTATTAGATTGTTGGATAAACGTATTTCGGTAGCATCACGCCATGCGGAGATTATCTCGGCATGTACGTGAGTGATTTGATTGTAACTTAAATCAACGCTACGCAAATTCACCAAATTGGATAAGCTAATGGATACATCGCTTAAGGAATTGAATGACATATCTAAATACTCCAAAGAACGTTGAGATTCAAAGGCCGTTGTCGCTATGGTGCGTATGGCATTGTGAGATAAATCCAATTGCTCTAATTTTGTGTTATTAGAAAATAAATTATCTGTTATGGCCTGTAATTTATTGCTGCGCAAATTTAAATTTCTTAACTGTGATAATGGCAAGAATGCGCGCTCGTCGATCAATGACAATTGATTTTCTTGCAAATGCAACAGTTCGAGACGAAATGATCCTATGAAAGCCGTATCACTCACTGCACGCAAACGATTATTAGCCATACTCAGGACCCGCAGTTGCGGTAAAGCTTGGAAGCCATATTTTGGTAATTGTTCCAAACGATTCAAACTTAAATCTAACATTCTTAGATTGGGTAAATTTAAAGTTTTTGTATTTACAGGAGGCAAGGAACTGATGAAGTTACCTCTAACTGAAATTCTTTCGACAATTTTTGGTAATCCCGGTATCACTTCCAACAATTGATTAAAACTAGCATCTACTTCGAATAGATGATCTAAATTCGTAAAGGTTGCCGCATGTATGGAAACCAACTCATTAGCTGATATATTCAATGTCTCTAGCATGGAATTATGTATGAAAATCGTGGGATCCAATTTAATTAAACCATTTTCGCTTAAATCTAAACGCCTTAACGAAGGCAAACCGACTAAAAGCAATGAGTCTACCCAACGAAAATTATTCATTGATAAATCTAAGCCCTTTAAGCCGGGCAGATTCCAAAAAGGCATACTAAGCTCATGACTTAGGCTATTGTTACGCAATCTCAATTCTCTTAAGGCGGGCATAGCCATAAGTGCATCTCTTTCAATATTCCTTAGTAAATTGTTATTGATGTGCAGCTGTTCCAGGGTGCCATGACCTCTCAGCGCACCAAAATGTATGTCTTTCAAATAATTATTGCTAATATCTAAGAATTTAAGAGCTGGCAATGCTTCCAACAATGAACGCAATTCACTGACTTGCTCAATTTCATTGTTATATATATACATGGTTTCAACGCCGCTGCCGGAGGCTTGTAAAAATGATTCTGGATGTATTCTCTTAATATGGTTATTGTGTAAGTAAATGGTCTTTAGCATTGGGATGCGTAAGAAAGCGCCGTATTCAATCTCAGTTATACGATTATCATTCAAATGCAGTTCGGAAAGGTAAGGTAAATCCACAAAAGAACCATCTTCCACAATATTTATAATATTATGATCTAATCTGAGTTTTTTAAGGCTTTCCAAATCTTTAACAATACGACCAATCATGCCGACATCGCTGATCTGATTATGTGACAACTTTAAGTTCATCAAGCTTGGCAATCGGGCTAACGCTCGCAAATGTATCCAGTTTATACCATTACGACTCAAATCAATATTTTTTACGGCTGTCAAACCGTCGAACAAACCAGATTCCAGACGATGTAAACCTTTCGCATTGCCAGTAACGTGTATATCTTGTAATTTTGGCAGATGCCGGAACCAGTGAAACTGTAACTCAGTTAGCGCTAAACTATGGACATTTAAATATGCTAAGCTCAGCAGACCTGAAAAGTCAGGAAAATGTTTCAATTCATCACTTTGTATTGTGATAGCCACCATATTGACCATGCCATTCAGACTCTCCACAGGTATGCTGCGCAATTCCGGCTCCACTATATAAATCTCAATTAAACTATTTTCCAGCTCGTTAAGCCAACCATTCGAGACACGTTCTATGCTATTATGGCGTAACATGAGTCGAACAATTTGTAAATTACCAAAAAATCGTCCCGGCAACGCGGGCAATTGGTTGTTCTCTAAAACCAATTCATCGATAGGACGTTTTATATTGCGTTCAATAGATTTAATGCCATCCATTATTTGAGGTAAATTACTATGAGAGCACCTATAAAAAATTATTACATACGATAATCGAAAAATAAATTTTATAATTAAAAAAAAACAGAAGGAGATGGACTAACCAAATTTGCATCTCTTTTCCTCTCATAGAACAACGGCATGGCAATATAGCTTCAGAGGAAGGGCAACCACCACTTGCTTCTGCCTTGAGGTAAGGTAATAGGCAAGCAGATAGGAAACAACAATGTAATAACCAAACGTACGGCGCCCAGCAATTATTGTAGAAATTTAAGAGACACGAGTAACGTTTGCGCTTCATTTTAAGAAATAGAAACCTTGGAATCGTTTGGCTTGTAGACAATAGTTAATATTCAGCATATTGCCTATGAAGAAACCAGAAAAAAAAAAAAAAACAAACAAAAATAAATAAAAATGCCATAGCGGAACGCGGCACATCATTAAACACCCTGTAACACGTTCGCTTAATGGACTTATTCAGTGAAACATTTTCAAAGTAAAGTGTTGTGTAGGAAACGGCCGAAAAAGCGGCCCAATCGGAACAATTTTCAATAGCGTTCGCCTTTGGTCCAAAACATATCGCCATAACTAATTTCATCGAAATATCCCGAAAATTGCGATCTATGCGATGAGACAGCTCGATGTAATGGAAGTTGGATCGATTTCCAAGTCCTTCTGGATGGGGTCTGGCGCACTCTCATACCACAAGTAAAGTATAAAAATTTACTCATAGATCATAGGAAAGAAAGCAAAAAGTAATGCATACCATGCGATACTTATCACCTATAGCCTAATACATTTTCATTTAAGCTTCCATTTCTTTTCTTTACGAAGACAAGCAAGAATACGAACTCTATTGAGACAGTAGTTGGGATCTTTTCACTTTTTCTTTCTTTGGACAGAAGATTGGCTTGTTGTTAATTGCGCTCATTATGCTAGAAAATATCGAAACATGTAAAAAAAATTTTAATTTTTCTTTAAAAAAACTCGGCCCTTCTTAAGAATTTATTTCTCCAAAAATATTTATAATAGGCTTGTTAATCAAGGTAGTCGATGAAAATCTTTGAATTACTCTCCTGTGAAAAGATGATGTTGATGCCCGATAAAATTCTTTGTCTTCCTCAAAAATTACTTTTAATTTATTTGAAATTAATTTTTTTTAAAATTTTTTATATATCGTAAAACGGAAGTGTTTTCTATATATTATTATTATTATTATGTTCTATGACTAAAGTCTTAAAGCACTATCATGATCTAAGGCTAGCGGTTTTATTGGAAACTCCACCGCATTTGAGATTTGAACTCAAGACCACAAGTTGTTAGTCGAGGCCCTTTGGATCGTTTGAGAATAGTAGAATATAAATCTAAATTCTTTGATTATTTTATGCATTATTTTGCTTGGCAAAGAGATTTTGTTTTTAAAGAAATAAAACGTCACAAACTGCAAGCCGGAGTTTCATTCCAAAGAATTCAAAAAACACTCATATTGTTCCAGCGTTTGTAAGGCACAATATTATGCACTCGAATCGAGTTAAACTTACGCTGTCGTATTGTCTCCCTAAATGAATGCATTTTAGCAAAATAATTGCGGACGTATGTGTAACGTTGCGTTTCATTTGCACAGCATCTGGTATACTATAAGGTTTAACGGAAAATAAGGTTCCGTTTGTTTGCCCTCTTTATTGCACCCTACACCAGCTGCCGGACAAGAGTTTATAATTAAATTGTGGAGATGGTTGTAACATCCAGAAGGACTTGAGGTAGACCCACTTTTTACTACTATTATTATCAAGACTTGTCTATCCATCTGAATTCTCTCTATATATTCTTAGGGTTAACCTCGCAACAAGTCGCAACGTATTTTGATTTGAATCGGATCACCATTTTGGCTACTCCCCAAATAACGGTTTATTTACGCAAAACGTTATAAAAAAAATATTGTAATTTTTAGAATTTTAAGGCAAAACCGCTTAGTAACCGCTTAGTATTCCGACATTCTACATTTGTAAAAAAACTTTCGATCGATCAGCACAATTTTTTAGTCATGACAAGTTTTTTTGTCATATAATCGTTCTTACGGAGACTGAATCTTTATATAGTGAAAAGGCTTGATTTCCGTTACTTTTATAATTTGACATAAAAATTAACTTTTGGACCATGTGGGTCTATTTTTTAAATCCCACACCATATGAGGATTCTACTGAAAAATAATGTTCCATACATGCTATAAAGAAAATCTGTTATTGTTTCAAATAGCAAATCAAACAGAGAAAATTTGGACCACATAGATCGATTTTTTAGACCTTAACTTGTATTGCAACTGGAATATAATAAATTCTTTGACAAGTAAATGAAGTTTGCTAAATTTAGATCAAGTCGACGTTGAAAAAAAAATATGTATAATTTCCAGTGTATTATTAATTAAGCGAAGTATGGTAGGGTATCTAACAATCGGTCTTGCCCGTCTATAGCATTCTTACTTGTTTTTAACTTAAATAAATAAATAGACATAATGAACGCATACTTCCATCCACGTCCTTTGTACAACATAATAAGGAAATTATTATAGATTCCATTTATTCAAAATGCTAAATTTTATAATATATTGATTTTTCAAGAGGCTAAACACCAATCTACAAAGGTATTCCGCAAGTAAGGGTTAATTTACCACTAAACGTAATATTCAAAAAAATGCAATTATGATTGCTGGAGCTAGACAAACGAAGTAAGGCAAGGGGGAAAGACGTTGCCAAACGTTCTGCAAAATTAATATATTCAAGTTTTAATAAATACATCAACATGATGATTGCATAAAACGAACCTTGAGTTTATGTACTATTGTCATGTTCGTCATTGCAAATCGTTTTTCTTATAATAAACATCATCATGTCTGTAGCTCGTTTTAGTTTTTAATAATGGTGGCGTATCTAAGTGTTACTTATACACACCTGATGGAGAGGTAAAATGGATACATGTCATACAACGTATGCAAAGATTATTTATTTCTTTATTTATTTATTTATTTATTTTTTTTTTTTTTTTCTGTTCAATGAGAGGAGAATTTATTTATAGTACATAGTAAAATATTATTGAAGTAGGTGTTAAGCGGTTCCTCGCTGTATGTAATTTAGATTAAATTTGAAGTCGCATGCTTTTTACGACAATTTTCGTAAACTATGAACTGAAAACTTTAAATATTAAGTACAATGGAAATGCTCGCATACACTATTTAATATGTAGATAATATGTATAACCTGCTTTCCATTTAATTTCAATTTAATAGACTCCAATTATTAAAATGTGTCAAAAAGTTGTCGTCAACATGAAAGCATTGAAACAATGTATAAGGATGTGACAATAAATTACTTGAAGAATATAATAAAAATTTTCTATTTTATTTATTTATCATCACTACAGTTAATTTTAGTAGAGTTTAGAAATTTCAAATTGCGGCACAATGGAAACTTTTTCACTTAAAGAAAAAAATTGACGAAAAACGCCGACAGTACGGCTGTCCATACTATTCGCATGTTAATCTTAATTTTGTTTCGCCTTTTTATTCAATCAACGACGAGAAAATCAAGATCAAAACATTTGCGAGACTCTAACTTGGACATACCATTGCAAAGTACTCTACTCGTCCAATTTTAGAGAATAATTTTTAAAAATTTCGTCTTGTTCACCTTATCAGTAATGGGCAGAAGACGGGAAAAAAGTGAAGGCAAAAAAAGGTGGGCGTTTATAACATTGTGTAGGTGCGGTCGATTTCTTCAATTTTTGTGGTGCAGGACCAATCCAATTGAATACAAATGCAAATTATTATTGTTTTAACTGTTGCGGGTTTATAAGCAACGATCAAAATTTGAAGTTTCAAATTTTTTTTTCTTTGTTTTTGAGACCAGTAATGGTTTCAGATTATGTTTCACTGCGATCGTATCATTTGACCGATTGAAGTCAATTTCAATGCCAACCTACGTGCAAGAATTATCAATCCTTCTGCCAAGTTTGAAACCGACTGCTGCATTTTTGCGAATAGAAGCATGTTTACCGCAGACAGGCGGGCAGATGGACATGCGTAATTCGGTTTAGAATTTCATGGTGACCAAGAATATATGTATTTTATGGGATCTCGGCAGGTTCCTTCCGAGTGTTACAAAAGTTTTTGCAAAACGGATACGCCCCCCATCCCTCGGTAATGAGTATAAAACTAAACACTTTTCTATTGGATCAATTTTCAAAGATGTGAATATGTAGCAAGTAATTTAGAGTGGAAAATATATAGCCCGGGATTAATATCGGCGCAATTTCGACTGCAATTTATCAAATTGCCTGCAGATCGGCGTAATGGGTTATACTGGTTTTTGCATCTTTTCTTTACTACCATAGTCGTCCCCACACGAAACAATGTTTTTGGCGTTCTTATCAGGTTCGTAACAATGTTTAGCGGGTTTTTCATCACAGCACATACCCGGTATTACATGGTGATGTAACAACTCTAAAGAGAGGCGTTGCCTTTCTGCTCAACGAATTCTACATAGCATAGGATAGTGTCAAAACAGCTATTTGAAGGTTTGCCGCCTTTCCCGTTTAATTCAGAAAAAGCAAACTGTTAGTGAATAGGTAAGTACACGCTACAATAATTTGATATGCAAAAAAACTATGATGGTAGAGCCAGATATTCTCGGCGCCAAACTTACGCCTTGTATTTGCAGAATACCTACAATAGGTGAAGAGAAGTTTCGAAATTATATGTGAATGTAGCAATAATCATTCGCCAATAATACAGAACACGTATGAGAAACCGTAATGGGCACTGAACTGCATCTGCTGTCTTCCAGCGATATTTACCATACGATGCCTCTTTTGATCAACACCTTGTTCTAATCGTTAAGTTCAAGCGCTTTTATTCTTACGCCCATACCGAAATGTGAAAATTCTTTCGTGTATAATCTACGTGGAGGATAAGAAAAGTAGAGGCTAACGATAGACAATATTTCGAAATGAAATTTATTTCATAATGCTGAAGCGAGAAGGCGAGAGTCGGATATTAGCCGTTTAAGTCCGGAATCACGACTATCAGTTTTACATGACGATAAATAGCGTAACAAGACCTCGTACGTTTCAATCATATTTTATGAATGCAACTTTGTAGATTCTACGACGAGTTCTTCTGAATAGATGCGTTTGCCTTTCCGTTTAAATTTATTCATCCCATCAAACTTACAGAGTTATTACAGGGAAGTATAGCTATCGGATTCTAATTGAAAATATTTAAAGGTGTACTGGAGTCTCCAAGTTTTCACGTTTTGTGAAATTTGCTCAAGACCAATGTAAAGTTATTGTGCCCATGTACGTCCTTGACATTGTAGTTGACTTAGCACTTTCACTCTTGTAGTTGCTTCTTCAATTTAGGTACAAGTATTTATGCAAATCTGTAAAATTCGTTTCAAGGGCGCTTATGACTTTTTTACAGATTTTATTTATTCACTTCATTTTGCGATTGCATTTACCTCCGCTTCTTACATTTATTTAGATGCTCTTCAGTCATATGAAATTCATTTCCAACTTTCAGTTATATAATCGAAATTGTTTTTGTTTTTTTTTTTTTTTACAATTTTTACATTTATTGGCCCATCAATAAAAAAAAAAACTATTCACATTAATAAGTAATGGAATTCGCTTTTTAGTTCTTTCGGAAATAAGTATAATTGAAATCACTTTTACGACATGAAGTAAAAGAAATAACGTTTTCTTATATCCTTTAATAGAGATATAAAATAATGTAACCACCGCTCGTTATATATTAGGCATCTTTGATGCGTATTCCAAACCATTTCAATTGAAATCTAATTTAAAACTGTTTACTGCGAAATTTTGGATATCAAACAAACATTCAGTTATTGCTTAAGAAAATGCCAGCAATAGTTGTTATATTGCAGAAAATAAAAAATAAAAATGAAAACAAAAAAGAAAAAAAACATTTAGTTTCTCATTTTTACGAAATCTTACATGGTTTTGTTTTCGGTGCGGTGTATGCACTGCGCCAAATGTTGGTGGTCACAAGCCAGTGATTTTACTCAAAATTTTGCTTCGGTATTGTCTTACTGGCTGACTGTGTAACACA